CGAAAACAAAGCCCTTGGGCTTAGAGTCCCAAATAACCTTTTTTATAGCCCTTCTCAAAAGCTACAGTTGAGCAAAAGATTCATGCCGATAGCTTCACTGGTTTCCAAAACATGGCCCTTTGAAATATTTGAAAATCAAATTTACATACATACCCCTTTGGAAATATTCGAATTTTTAAATTTTTGGATTTTGAAATTTTTGACTTTACCAATTGAAAGAGGAGGTGAAAATTAGTGGAAAAGCATTTACGCAACTTTGTTTTTTGGGTTTTAGGGCTTGTGAAAAAATTAAAACAGTTTTTCCACATTTTGGGCCCAGAAAATTTCAATAAATCTGACATTGTCTTACAAAATGGCTCATTACTCGGTTATAGCTGCACATATTATAATGTAAAATTATATATTCTGAATCAGAATTAAATTATCTTCAAAATAGAATAAGATTCAATTCTCTATCTTTAATACTTCTGGAGATATTGAGGCTCAAAGTCAAAACTTTGTCTCAAATTTCACAAAATATTCAAAGCTGATTTTCTCGAAAACAAAGCCCTTGGGCTTAGAGTCTCAAATAACCTTTTTTATAGCCCTTCTCAAGAGCTACAATTGAGCAAAAGATTCATGGCGATAGCTTTACTGGTTTCCAAAATATGGCCCTTTGAAATATTTGAAAATCAAATTTCCATACATACCCCTTTGGAAATATTCGAATTTTTAAATTTTTGGATTTTGAAATTTTTGACTTTACCAATTGAAAGAGGAGGTGAAAATTAGTGGGAAAGCATTTTCGCAACTTTGTTTTTTTTGTTTTAGGGCTTGTGAAAAAATTAAAACCGTTTTTCCACATTTTGGGCCCAGAAAATTTCAATAAATCTGACATTGTCTTACAAAATCGCTCATTACTCGGTTATAGCTGCACATATTATAATGTAAAATTATATATTCTGAATCAGAATTAAATTATCTTCAAAATAGAATAAGATTCAATTCTCTATCTTTAATACTTCTGGAGATATTGAGGCTCAAAGTCAAAACTTTGTCTCAAATTTCACAAAATATTCAAAGCTGATTTTCTCGAAAACAAAGCCCTTGGGCTTAGAGTCTCAAATAACCTTTTTTATAGCCCTTCTCAAGAGCTACAATTGAGCAAAAGATTCATGCCGATAGCTTTACTGGTTTCCAAAATATGGCCCTTTGAAATATTTGAAAATCAAATTTCCATACATACCCCTTTGGAAATATTCGAATTTTTAAATTTTTGGATTTTGAAATTTTTGACTTTACCAATTGAAAGAGGAGGTGAAAATTAGTGGGAAAGCATTTTCGCAACTTTGTTTTTTTTGTTTTAGGGCTTGTGAAAAAATTAAAACCGTTTTTCCACATTTTGGGCCCAGAAAATTTCAATAAATCTGACATTGTCTTACAAAATCGCTCATTACTCGGTTATAGCTGCACATATTATAATGTAAAATTATATATTCTGAATCAGAATTAAATTATCTTCAAAATAGAATAAGATTCAATTCTCTATCTTTAATACTTCTGGAGATATTGAGGCTCAAAGTCAAAACTTTGTCTCAAATTTCACAAAATATTCAAAGCTGATTTTCTCGAAAACAAAGCCCTTGGGCTTAGAGTCTCAAATAACCTTTTTTATAGCCCTTCTCAAGAGCTACAATTGAGCAAAAGATTCATGGCGATAGCTTTACTGGTTTCCAAAATATGGCCCTTTGAAATATTTGAAAATCAAATTTCCATACATACCCCTTTGGAAAAATTCGAATTTTCAAATTTTTGGATTTTGAAAATTTTGACTTTACCAATTGAAAGAGGAGGTGAAAATTAGTGGGAAAGCATTTTCGCAACTTTGTTTTTTTTGTTTTAGGGCTTGTGAAAAAATTAAAACCGTTTTTCCACATTTTGGGCCCAGAAAATTTCAATAAATCTGACATTGTCTTACAAAATCGCTCATTACTTAAATATAACTGCACATATTATAATGTAAAATTATATATTCTGAATCAGAATTAAATTATCTCCAAGATAAAATAAGATTCAATTCTCTATCTTTAATACTTCTGGAGATATTGAGGCTCAAAGTCAAAACTTTGTCTCAAATTTCACAAAATATTCAAAGCTGATTTTCTCGAAAACAAAGCCCTTGGGCTTAGAGTCCCAAATAACCTTTTTTATAGCCCTTTTTAAGAGCTACAATTGAGCAAAAGATTCATGCCGATAGCTTTACTGGTTTCCAAAATATGGCCCTTTGAAATATTTGAAAAACAAATTTCCATACATACCCCTTTGGAAAAATTCGAATTTTTAAATTTTTGGATTTTGCAATTTCTGACTTTACCAATTGAAAGAGGAGGTGAAAATTAGTGGAAAAGCATTTTCGCAACTTTGTTTTTTGGGTTTTAGGGCTTGTGAAAAAATTAAAACCGTTTTTCCACATTTTGGACCCTGAAAATTTCAATAAATCTGACATTGTCTTACAAAATGACTCATTACTCGGTTATAACTACACATATTAAAATGTAAAATTATATATTCTGAATCAGAATTAAATTATCTTCAAAATAGAATAAGATTCAATTCTCTATCTTTAATACTTCTGGAGATATTGAGGCTCAAAGTCAAAACTTTGTCTCAAATTTCACAAAATATTCAAAGCTGATTTTCTCGAAAACAAAGCCCTTGGGCTTAGAGTCCCAAATAACCTTTTTTATAGCCCTTTTTAAGAGCTACAATTGAGCAAAAGATTCATGCCGATAGCTTTACTGGTTTCCAAAATATGGCCCTTTGAAATATTTGAAAATCAAATTTCCATACATACCCCTTTGGAAAAATTCGAATTTTTAAATTTTTGGATTTTGAAATTTTTGACTTTACCAATTGAAAGAGGAGGTGAAAATTAGTGGAAAAGCATTTACGCAACTTTGTTTTTTGGGTTTTGGGGCTTGTGAAAAAATTAAAACAGTTTTTCCACATTTTGGGCCCAGAAAATTTCAATAAATCTGACATTGTCTTACAAAATCGCTCATTACTCAATTATAACTGCATATATTATGATGTAAAATTATATATTCTGAATCAGAATTAAATTATCTTCAAAATAGAATAAGATTCAATTCTCTATCTTTAATACTTCTGGAGATATTGAGGCTCAAAGTCAAAACTTTGTCTCAAATTTCACAAAATATTCAAAGCTGATTTTCTCGAAAACAAAGCCCTTGGGCTTAGAGTCTCAAATAACCTTTTTTATAGCCCTTTTTAAGAGCTACAATTGAGCAAAAGATTCATGCCGATAGCTTTACTGGTTTCCAAAATATGGCCCTTTGAAATATTTGAAAATCAAATTTCCATGCATACCCCTTTGGAAAAATTCGAATTTTTAAATTTTTGGATTTTGCAATTTCTGACTTTACCAATTGAAAGAGGAGGTGAAAATTAGTGGAAAAGCATTTTCGCAACTTTGTTTTTTGGGTTTTAGGGCTTGTGAAAAAATTAAAACAGTTTTTCCACATTTTGGGCCCAGAAAATTTCAATAAATCTGACATTGTCTTACAAAATGACTCATTACTCGGTTATAACTACACATATTAAAATGTAAAATTATATATTCTGAATCAGAATTAAATTATCTTCAAAATAGAATAAGATTCAATTCTCTATCTTTAATACTTCCGGAGATATTGAGGCTCAAAGTCAAAACTTTGTCTCAAATTTCACAAAATATTCAAAGCTGATTTTCTCGAAAACAAAGCCCTTGGGCTTAGAGTCCCAAATAACCTTTTTTATAGCCCTTTTTAAGAGCTACAATTGAGCAAAAGATTCATGCCGATAGCTTTACTGGTTTCCAAAATATGGCCCTTTGAAATATTTGAAAATCAAATTTCCATACATACCCCTTTGGAAAAATTCGAATTTTTAAATTTTTGGATTTTGAAATTTTTGACTTTACCAATTGAAAGAGGAGGTGAAAATTAGTGGAAAAGCATTTACGCAACTTTGTTTTTTGGGTTTTAGGGCTTGTGAAGAAATTAAAACCGTTTTTCCACATTTTGGGCCCAGAAAATTTCAATAAATCTGACATTGTCTTACAAAATCGCTCATTACTCGGTTATAGCTGCACATATTATAATGTAAAATTATATATTCTGAATCAGAATTAAATTATCTTCAAAATAGAATAAGATTCAATTCTCTATCTTTAATACTTCTGGAGATATTGAGGCTCAAAGTCAAAACTTTGTCTCAAATTTCACAAAATATTCAAAGCTGATTTTCTCGAAAACAAAGCCCTTGGGCTTAGAGCCTCAAATAACCTTTTTTATAGCCCTTCTCAAGAGCTACAATTGAGCAAAAGATTCATGCCGATAGCTTCACTGGTTTCCAAAATATGGCCCTTTGAAATATTTGAAAAACAAATTTCCATACATACCCCTTTGGAAAAATTCGAATTTTCAAATTTTTGGATTTTGAAAATTTTGACTTTACCAATTGAAAGAGGAGGTGAAAATTAGTGGAAAAGCATTTACGCAACTTTGTTTTTTGGGTTTTAGGGCTTGTGAAAAAATTAAAACCGTTTTTCCACATTTTGGGCCCAGAAAATTTCAATCAATCTGACATTGTCTTACAAAATGGCTCATTACTTAAATATAACTTCACATATTATAATGTAAAATTATATATTCTGAATCAGAATTAAATTATCTTCAAAATAGAATAAGATTCAATTCTCTATCTTTAATACTTCTGGAGATATTGAGGCTCAAAGTCAAAACTTTGTCTCAAATTTCACAAAAGATTCAACTTTGCAAATTCCAAACAATTTCTTGACATATATTGCATATACTCCCACTTCATCGTTGTTTTTCTCTCTCGCTCATCTGAAACGTGTATCGGTTTGTCTTTGTCTTGTACAAGAAAACTCTCAACAAATGTCAAACAAAAATGCTTTATTTTATTTTATAATAATAATAATAATTATATCCATCTTTTTACAATTAACAACACATTTATAATTATTTATAAGTTAGGGCCGGTTTATTCATTTTCTGCCAGCTAAGGGTAAATTTATCTTGCAGATAGTTATCTGAATATGAATAAACCAGGCCTTAATATATGTAACAAAAATAATTCGGTTTTTTTTTTTTTTAAACCATACAAAATTGGCCTTTAAATTCCTCTAACATCGTGGCACATGATTGTTTTTATAAATAATTTGAAGCATAAATAATATAAATCATTATAGGTTTGTTCACACAGAAATCACGCAATAAAAAACTGTGTGAACAGACCTTTAATATTGGTATAATAAATTCCTTTTTGGTGAGCAACAATATATAGTAAAGTTTACATCAATAAAAAATATGGATTGTAAAAATAGTCTTTTTTTTTTTTCAAATGAGATATGTACGATTGTTTATAGAAAAAAGATTATTTGACTGTTGACAGATGTCAAAGTAAAAAAAAAATTTGGCCCTGGGCAAGATTCGAACCCGCGTCTTTTCTTTTCTCCTCAATATTGCAGGTACTAGTTGAAGACGCGGGTTCAAATCCCGCTCAGGACCAACTTTTTTTTTTTAAATTTTTCTTCAAAATAAGTCAAAAATCTTTCCAAATATATATTGTAGAGTCGCAAAAAATACGCTTTACTTTACCTCATTGATACATTAATAGGATTGTCTCTAGCTAAAATATATTGTAATGACACACTGATTATACAATAATTAGACAACGATAAATCGTGCGGTAATGCACCGATTATACCTCTACACACTTTTTGTATCTAGTAGAAACGACCTTATTGTAATAATACATAATTACAATTTATATATAGTACTTTTAATAAAAAGATTGTCATTTTGGTTTTTTTTTTTTAATTTTTTCGTATTTTTTAGGCCATATAGAATTTTTGGGGTGGAGGGAAAAGGGAGTATAGGTACTTTTTTAACCGAAAAAAAAAAAAAAAAAAAGATTTTTTTAAGATGACGTCACATTTAGTAAATTGCTGCTATCAACCTAACAAAACTAAAAGATGTTTGCAATGTTGCATGACATTTTGGTGAATTATAAATATAGGCATTTGACAACATTGTCATTGTTCGATGATGACGTCATCCTAAATATAACCTAATAAGTGTTTGGTGTTTTGTTCCTTACATAAAACAAACATATTTATAAATTTGCCTGCAAATTTATCGTTGGTCGGTTGGAGTAGAAATTCCCAATCTGATCCGATCAGGGCGAGTCATTCGAGTCGCTGCCTAGCGATTGGATGGGGAACAACGAGTACCAGCCGACGTTCAGCCGAGTCAATGTCAACGAGTCCAAGGCGATTTCGGCTCCGCCTAGTCCTTGGTTGTGGTCGAACCCGCTCTGACGTTCCCAAAGCATTGCGACCTGGAACATATAAGAATTGAACACATCTTTGTGACGTCACAAGAGCTCAAGCGACGCAAATTGAATTTAGATATGTTTTTTTTTTTTGTGTTACTTGCAATAATCAAATTAATAATGACGTCACACACATTTTGAAGCAGTTTATCGAGGTTTGAACAGTCAATTTTTAAATTTTTTTACATTAAAACTTTAATTATTGGCGCACACCCCCTTTAAATTTGTCAATACATGGTGAATCCAAACTAAACAAGGATGATACACACTACTACTAGGGAAAAGGGGTGGGAAAGGTGGAAAAAGGGGTGGGAAAGGAGGAAAAAGGGGTGGCGGTGGAGGAAAAAGGGGTGGAGGTGGATGGCGTTTTCCAGTTTTTCAGGCCGTTTTCAATTGGGAAAACTGGTTTTAAGTACGAGGCTTTTAGTTTCTTTGATTTTCCACCAAAAATTTCCAGTTTTCCAAAAGGGGTAAGTAACAAAAACTCAAGTTTTATCAATTAGGCTTGCAAATATCATTTTCCAGTAGTTTTCTTTGGATTTTCCGCTTTTCTAGGGCTTTTTCGGTCGGGAAAACCGATTTAAAATACGAGGCTTTCGGTTTTCTTTATTTTCAGTCAAAAATTTCCAGTTTTAAATGCTAAAATTTATATAATTTTTTTTCAGGTTGCAACATCGTTTTGTAGCTAACTTCACTCGCATTCTTATCAAGTTAGCTTTGGAATGGTATGTATAAAGTTTGACATTTGACAGTCGGCCATTTTTGAGTGTTTTTATTTCGGTTTCTCGTTGAATTTTCCAGTTTTCCGGGAGAAAAAGTACTCCAACATGTTCAGAAAAGTGAATTCTGTGTTTATTCTGTTCAGAAAATTGAATTTCTAAGTGAGGGCCACAGTTTTGAGGGGTGAGTACGAGAAATTCTATTATTATAAAATTAGGCCTTTTGTACCGAATTTTCGCAATAATCATTCAAGGACCAATCATAGTTCGTCTCGTGACGTCATGAGTTTAAACGTTGGCTAGAAACTGCGTCCATGCTCCGGCGAACTACGTTAAATATGACGTCATGAGTTTCTCGAGAAAGCGTTTGAATTTTATAAAATCATAAAAGTAGTTCATCGCGAAAATTCGATTCTAATATGTTAAAAATAAACGAGCAAGCAAAAAACTATGTATTTGTATCCTTTTCTTTGCCAGGCTGAAAGAAAGAGATGGGCTTATGTTAATTCCTCTTGACAGATAAGTGAAGCTTCTTTTGACAGGTGATTAAAGGTGGGTTTATACAGCACATAAAAAATAATTTATGTGGGATCAAGGGTTCTCTGTCATTAACGCCTTCAAAATCGGTTGATTTCAAGTTTTCACGACAGATTGGCAAACTATAATACTATTGGCTAGAGTCATGTGACGTCACGTAAGGTGCGCGTTTTGAATAGACTCGGTGCCAATACCTTTGTTTTCAGTTTTCGAATTTGACAGCTGGGGTTTGAATGTGCTCTAACCACATTATACTTACAGCCCTTGGCCCATGCAAAACCTTTTTTTATACATTTTTATATTGTATTCAGGCATTTTGAAAATCCAATAAAAATAAAAGGCAGGAGGGTAGCCATTTTGAGATAAATAAGTGCCTAACTCAAGGTTTCTAAAGTTAACAGGTTGCAGAACTTTGCATTATGTTTAGGCATTCAGATGACGTCATAAAAATTATCAAGCAACCGGTTGTGACGTCACGCTTCCACAATTATTTTGCAAATTTCTCCATCAAAAACCATCAGGCATAAAATGGTGCAGCTTGAAATAGTATTTTTAGAATTTGTTATACAGACATTTTGATTTTTGGTTTACATTGCACCCCCTCTAAAAGATAGGTGGTCTATGTAAACTAAACTCCTATAATTTTTTCCTATTTAAAATGTGGCAACGTCGCTTTCAGTTAAGCAAGCCTTGTAATGTAATGTCATTTGCCACTTTTGTAGCATATTGTAGCAAGAGTAGTAAGACTGACAGTCATGTGCGAGCGTCTGTACAAAGGTGCACTTTGTTGTTTCGCGTAAGAAAATGTGAAAACTTTGTTTCTATCTTTGTCTTACCCATTTAGGGTTTTTGCAAACTTGTACCTACTACTTTATTGTTGTCTTTGTTTTACTTACATATATTTAACAAGTAAACCTTGTAATCTGTAATTTTCATTGATATTAAACTAAAAGCAAGTTTCTAAGGCCTTATTTAAAGAATTTATTGTTTTAATAATTAATTAGATTTAACCATTTAAAATGTTATTGATGTCATAATGGCAACGTCGCTTTTAGTCGGCCATTTTGCAGTGACGTGTTTACGTTTTTGTCCAGTTTTTCTTCGAATTTTCCACTTTTCCAAGACTTTTTAATAGAAAAACCCTATTAAATATACGAGGCTTTGATTTTTCTACATTTTCTAGCAAAAATTTCCAGTTTTTAATGCCATAATTAGCAAAATGCTTTTTTTGAAAATTTCTATATGGCAACACCGCCTCATGGCCAACTTCACTTAATTAATAGTAGGCCTTGTAATGGAATGTTATTTGCCAGTTTTGATAGTCATTTTCATTTGACGTTGTACAGTTTTTCCTCGAATTTTCCGATTTTCCAGACCGTTTTTGGTTGGAAAAACCGATTTTAAATACGAGGCTTTGAATTTCCTACATTTTGTGCCAAAAATTTCCAGTTTTCCAATGGGGTAAGTAAGAGAAACTTTAGTTTTATCAAGTAGGCCTTGGAATGTTGGTTTTTCTTTGGATTTTCCACTTTTCCAAGGTTTTTTCAGTCGGGAAACCTGGTAAGAGGCTTTTAATTTCCTTCATTTTCTGCTAAAAATTTCCGGGGTAAACAACAAAAACTTTAGTTTTATCAAACAGGCTTTGCAATGTAATTTTTAGAAGTGAAAATTTCTAATTTTAAATGCAATAATTAGTAAAATCCCATTTAAAATGCTTTTTCTGGAAATTTTAATGTGGCAACAGCGCTTGTAACCAACTTCAATCAAGTGAGCCTTGTAATAAATGTCATTTACCAATTTTGACAGTCGGTTGTTTTTGAATGGATTTTTTCTCGAATTTTCCAGTTTTCCAAGCAGTTTTTAATTAGGAAAACTGGTTTTAGGTACGAGGCTTTTAGTTTCCTTCATTTTCCACCAAAAATTTCCAGTTTTCCAAAAGGGGTAAGTAACAAAAACTCAAGTTTTATCAAGTAGGCTTGCAAATATCATTTTCCAGTAGTTTTCTTTGGATTTTCCGCTTTTCTAGGGCTTTTTCGGTCGGGAAAACCGATTTAAAGTACAAGGCTTTCGGTTTTCTTCATTTTCAGTCAAAAATTTCCAGTTTTAAATGCTAAAATTTAAATAATTGTTTTTCAGGTTGCAACATAGCCAACTTCACTCGCATTCCATTTAAGTAAGCTTTGGAATGGTATGTATAAAATTTGACAATTGACAGTCGGCCATTTTGAGTGTTTTTATTTCGGTTTTTCGTTGAATTTTCCAATTTTCCGAGACTTTTCAATTGGAAAAAGTACTTTAAAGTATTGCGATTCAAATTATGTGTTTATTTTGCCTGGAAAATTGAATTTCAGAGTGGGGGCCACAGTTTTGAGGGGTGAGTACAAGAAATTTGATTATTATAAAACTAGGCCTTTTGTCAGTGTGTTTATATGCTAAAAATAGACGAGTAGGCAAAAATTTATGTATTTTTCTTTGCCAGGCTGAGAGAAAAATGTTAATTCCCAGCCTTATTTTTTCTTTTTGACAGGTAAGTGAAGCTTAATTATTATAAACAAATTGTTTATTTTATAACAGAATTATGTTGCATTTACGGTACGGTTTTAGGGGTTTTATGGGAAAAATTTATGCTTAAAATTTAGTCTTTAATTATTTTTTGATGAAGTTCCACCAAATACTCACAATCTTACAACAGTGTCGTTTAAGGTTATTTTAGATGGTACTTGAGCTCTAAGGTACCTACTTTACATATTTCCTTTGCAATACAATTCCATTGTGCGATGTTGCCGGATGAAACATATATTTATCAAAATATAAATGCAAACGATGTTAATATAGGTACACTCAATTAATTGATGAAAACTTTAGAATAACACAGGAATTATATTGCTCGAAAAATGGCACATTGGCAACGTTGCATCTATGAGCGGCCAATCAGATGATCCATAACGGATTTGACAGTGATAGAGGATAAAGTTAATTTTATGATTTTGAGTGTTAATCAGAATCAAAGGTATTTTTGGATTTAAAACTGTGGAGAACGTATTATTTGTAATGATTCCAAGCACATTTCAATATTTCAGCGGTACTCTTGACATTGGCGTAGTTATTTATGGGGTAATTTATTGTGACTAAAACTTCTATTAAATTCAGAGGAAATTGAACACGCCGTCACTGAACAGTAGTGTTGCCGTTTTATAGATCTATTTCTCTCTTACTTATCTTATGTCATGAACTAAAAGATGATTGATTGTAAATGGCATGTTTGGTCTCTAGTTTTATTAATAGTCTAAGGTATGCACCGTTGATTAATGAATGTGAATGAGGCTTTGTTAAGTCTCAAATAAATTTGGCAACACTCTAAAATTCTAAAATATTGAAAAATGGGTGAAATAATGGTAGTGTCATACTTTGTTATTAAAAAATTTGGAAAGCATGGGATTTTGGGGTATAAGCTTCTAGAGTCCTACTTATGAGACAGAAAGTAATATGTGGTAAATGAACAAAAAAGCTCGGTACAAAAGAATAACTGTTTATTAACTGATCCAAATAAGGCCATGTACCTAATAAGGCCAGTGCCGTTTATTGTTTAATATTGAATCCCATTTCCAAAAATTACAATATTGTTAAAAAAGAAATCTATAATGCAATATAAAGAAAAATGACCAAGCAACAGTACGGTACTACTTAAATAAGTGATAAGGAATTTAATTTAGTGGTACTTTTGTGTGGGCGGCCCTTAAGTTCCGGACC